ATATGTAAGTCCACTCTCCCCATGTGTTTATTATATTTAGCTATCATGTTGGGTTGTGGAATAGCGATATCTGTTCTTACCTTGCGATTATATCGTTTTACGCGAAGAACAAGCTTTACTGGATCACAATTGGTTGCCACCGTCACCACAGAATTATCGTTCCAACGCACAAAACTTATTTTATTAGTTTAATCGTAGCGACAATCCATAGCGCCGCGATCTTTTTTTCCAACGGATCATGTGTTCTCCAACGTACAATTTAACAGTCTGTTTTTACGTCTTGTTTCAGTGGCAAAATATACAAGTTTTAACTAACAACTTAAAGCTGGTAAATAAATTATTAAAGTATATCTTGTATGCGGACTTATCTTCAACGACCTTTAAAAGATTAATAACAACTGCTGTACTCATACTGAGCTCTTTTGAATTATTCTGGTTGGATTTTCCAGTATAAGGGACACAGTTTTATAAATATTTATTGCTAGATGCAGGGTACCACATTTTATATACGAAACGAACAAGATTCCCTTTTTTAAACATTTTTGCTGAATGACGGCCAAAGTATGGGACTATTTGTTCATCCATTAATAAGTATTGACTGAAAACACCATATTTAAAAAAACTTTTGTTCAACAGGTCGATTATATAAGACCAACTTTTGCAAATTTATGTTATTTATCTAGCTGTGTATGTTTATAATATAATAATATGTAAATATATGTTCCGCTCTATTTCAAGAAAAATTGTATTTCTAGCGATTGCAATCTTCACAAACTGATCTCCCTTATCCTCATCGGAAAACCAGTAAAGTTTTACACAAGGAAGAGTGTAATATCCGCTTAAAATCAATAATCCCTAAAAAATTTCTAAATCATTTCGATACATATCTTCCATATTTTCCTCAGCTGTTAGGTTATCAACTTCTGGAGGTAATAAACAAACATCTATCTCATCATCTACATCCAGAATTTCAACTATAGCTTGATAAAATAACAAACACCACGTGTTTATCAGGGGAATTAGGTTTACACAAGAAATTAGTTACTTCTACGTATTATACTATTGTCCCATAGTTGCGTTAACGCAACGCTATATTGAAAGTCCTGAAACGACAATATTTTCTAAAAACAAATACATTTTATGTTTAGTTGATTATTACTTTATATCCTTAAGCTTTAAAAATATCTTGAATGATAAAACAATAATACCCAAATATTTTAAAGCATTTTTTGATAATGTACCTCGCTTGTAATAGTTTTTTGGGTATTTTTAACGCTATTTTGAATTATAATTTTTTGGGTGTAAAATTTTTTTTTGAATCGTTAAATATTTCCTAACACAATACTATCCGCAATTTATTTATAAAAAAAAAATTTCAGTATGAACGTAAAAAAAATTGTATTTAATATGTTGCGTTAACGCAACTATGGGCCTAAATGGGTTAACAAATAAAAAAGCAATTAAAATAGCGTATCCCAAAGAATTTTAATTAATCATTTTACCCCAAAACCCGTAAAATAAGACAAAATCGTTCGTTGTTTATAACTTCTGTGAAAATTTACTTTACTTTTGCAATTGCTCTCAACGAAGAGTCTTATAGTGCTTAACTAACCCTCAAAATTTCAGTTCGATTCATTAATGATATAGGTTTAATAATATATTAAAGAAAAAACTCGTCATATAGCTGAGTATTAGTATGTCCTGAGAAAAACTTATTTTCTGGACTAAATAGTTTTTATAATCTTTGATAAATAAGAACACATCTTTTGACATGATCTCCCGAAGTGGAGAAAACGATCGTACACCCTCGACCGGACGGAGCATCGACGTCGGCAGCATAGGTCAATCTATTACCGTACAACTACCGATGCGATCGACCTATCATGTTTGGTCTGATATACGCTCGACCAAGCGACCGATAGTCGGTAGAGAATTTGCAGCAGCAAATATTAGTTGCGGTCATGACATCGACTGTTCACTTCAAAAGGACCGACGTTCCTCTGATCACACACCCTCGTTATATAATGGGCGAGTGGCGAGTGCCCGGCTTACGACCAATATCAATATAAAAGCCTAGCTGCCGAACTTCATTCTATGTGTGATTTGTGTGTTGTTCGGCCAGATTGCGTTTCAGCTGGTATTGTTCATGTTCGCCGTTTTATTACTAAATTTGTATATGGAATTTTTATTAATCGATTTGGTGAGAACAATGCCTTTTTAATATGGAATAAACTGGTTGATTTAATTAAATGGAATTTCGTATTAATATAAAACTGGAATTACCGAGTTCACATAATGAATGAGCACAAGTTTCCGAAGTTATCATGAAATTAATTGCAATACTATTATTTATTACAATAATAGTATTAATCAGAATGAAGGCGATCACCTATTATTCTGGCTATTATTAACCAATATAACAAATTGTAATTTCTAATTATTTAAACTTGTTTAAATTTGTATTCTAATCCATATTATTACTTGATGTTGATGTTGATATTGCCTCTATTCAAATTTACCATTCACAAACATTGTGTAGAGGCTCTATATGGAGCATATTTTAAATTATTTCCAATACAATTTTACAATATATGTTGGTGAGAAGGGGGATGTCTGGGACAAGGGAGGTGTGGGGCATTTCAAATTTTCCACCTTTAGATATTATGTGAACTATCGGTTCTCTACTTTCTCACCCGATGTATTACTGGTTGTAGCATTTCCTATTCGGATAGTGTTGTAGAAGCACATGTGTTGTGATAAAGACAGAATATTATTGATTTTCATTTTTGTAGGTACCGTTCCCGTCATAAAAAACTGGTACAACTCTTATAATCAAAAATCGTGTTTTTTAAGTTGGGTACGTTGATCTTGTCATGTGTGTCATTCTGATTTTTAGGGCACCGTTTCCAGTTCAACGAAAATATTATATAAAACCAGCTAAAAGTAAGGCTGTGTGACAGACCGCCAGTTTTGAGTATACTAAAAACTAAAACATTATCGAGTATTCTCGATCAGTCAGTCACATTCGATTTGTTTAAACATGCACCCTAAAAAATTCTCATATTAATTTTGTAATTTTCCATCATCTCAATTAAGTACACATACATTGATTTGTGTTTTATAAAAATTTATGAAAATATTTCAATTCAGAAATAATGACAGATAATCAATATTGACAAACTTCAAATTTTTATAATAAAACATTACGATGAGATATGGTATTGTAACTGTTACGTTTTGAAAAGCGTTTTTTCGCACCGAATATTTTCTGGTATATAATACGTAGGATAAAGTATAATGTTAGTTTTTTACATTTTTTTATCGTTTTCGAAATAAATAATAAATTATTCTTGGTAGTTTGCCTGTTACAAAACTTATTGACACAGAATACAGTTCGAGTTCGGTAGGTAATTGAAGTATAAAATTACAGTAGATGCATTCCAATTTTCTTTGTACCAGTACCCTAAGTTTTAAAAATTCTTCAAACATTTTGGATAATAACTCAACCCTATTTCTGCTTGTTTAATTTCTTAGATTAAGTTGTTTTTGGTAATGATAAAAATAATACCTATCTAAAATTTTAAACATTTTTGATCGTTATTTTTTTATTTAGATTTAGTGCAATTTCGTTATCTGTAACGGCAACAACGAATTTATTTCTGAGCCCAGGTTTACATTGGGAAAAAAAAGTGTACCAGTTTTATATGACGGGAAGTGTACAAGGTAAGAGTTTAACTTGTTTGTAAATTATTTTTTCTAATTAGTATAATATTTCAAGGCAATATATGTAGAAACCAATATAATGGTAAGCTTTTAATAAATTTTGTAAATTATATTATACAAAACACTGGGGCACCTTGAGGTTATGTTTGTTCACTAATTTATTGTAAAATGCTTCACTGGAAGGACTGGGATTTAGCATGCGTGGGATGGACATTGTCTCAGACCCCCCAGACCTCCCCTGTTGTATTATTTTTAATTTTATGTTATTTAAATTCTTTTAATAGTATACTTTTCCTTTGTTATAGTGTATGCCTCATAACTGGAAGAAAAACAATCCTGAGAGGACTGTACCATTAAAGTCTCGGATTGTGGAGGCCATTCAGCAGATTAAAGAAGGAAACAGCATAAGGCAGGCAGCAAAGACTTATAGTATTTCAAAATCGGCTCTTCAACGCCATTTGAAGAAATATGATGAAGCTCTCAACATAGAATGCGTTGTTTTTTGTTCTAATTTGATATGTTGTATGGTATTATCCGAAGAGCAAAAATTGGCTCTTGTAGAATATATCCTGGCTACAGGTAGAATGCATCATAATTTAACATCAGTTTAGGTCAGAATTCTAGCGAGACAATATGCAAGTGCCCTGAAATGTAAAGTAGGTAATTTATGAAAAGTTAAACAAATGGCAGAATATCACTGGTTCAAAGGCTTCATGGAATGCCACAAAGAACTTTCGCTACGTTCTCCAGAAGCTACAAGTCTGGGAAGTGCAAGAAGCTTCAACAAAACCAATGTTAATATGTTCCTAAATACCTTAAAAGCTATCTTTAAAAAGTATAATAATATATCACCCCAGATCGTATATTCAACTGTAAAGAAATAGAAATAAGTACAGTCAATATTCCACCCAAGGTTGTGGCTAAGCGTAGTAAAAAGCAAGTACTACAAGTGACATCAGCTGAGACGGGGGGAGCAAATCACTGGTCTTTTTATAGTAAATGCAAAAGGAAACGCTTTACCACCTGTACTTGTGTTTCTAAGAATCAGATATAAGATATTTTTCTTAAATGGTGCTCTTTTAGGCCGCATTGCACTAACTTGCGAGACAAATTGGATGTCAAGTGATCTTTTTAAACAGAGTCTAGAACCCACAATTCATCAAACAAAATGCACTAAGGATCAACCAATATTGTTAATTTTAGATAACCACGGGAGCCAAAGAGTTTTTAAAAAACCATTAACTTCTGAAGAATGTAACGACCCTTAAGAACTTATAATGCCAATGAAAATCCTGATTACACCTGAGCAAATCCGACCATCTCCTAAAGCTGCACAACGAAAAGAAGCTCAAAGAGGAAGGAAGAGAGGCAGAAGTCGTATTTTAACTAGTACACTAGAGAAAGCAGAGGCCGAAAGATTAGCTCTCGAGAGAGAAAGGAAGAAGTCTGGTAAGTTATCTGTAGCCATCCGCAATATTTCTAATAAGAAGCAAGTTTGTGAAGATTCTGAGTCTTCGTCCGAGGAATTACAAACTCCATATCAAGATACAGATGATAATCTAGAAATATATCTGAGTTCTGAGAAGGATGAAATAGAAAAAATAGATTGGAATAATAGTTCTGTGAATCTTAAGACTGAGATTTTGTGGTTGTTAAATTTTGTACTAAAAAGTCTGTTGTTTATTATGTTGACAAAATGTTGCAGTGTGATTCATTAGATAAAGTTTAAGTTCAGTTTATGCGTAAAAAAGGAGAAATCTGAAAATTTTATTTTCCGAATGTGGGAAGCAATAGCGTTATTGAGAAACAGGATATATTGCTTAAATTGCCTGCACCAATATGATCTGGAGGTACAGAGAGAGTAAAATTATTGTTTGTATTTTCGGTTAAATTGTTAAAATACAATGTACAATAAAGAAAAGTTTCTATTGTGTTGCAATAAAAACATTTATTAAATCCTGTCCCGGAACTCTCTACTAGTGTCCCACTCCTCTCAGTGGTATGGGACATTTGCAGCTTCTCACACTATCCATTATACTTCATTTTAAAGAATACTTATATCAGCCAATTTTTTAAAATTGTGTATTCCAAAGGACTATCTAACATACTCTAGCATTAATATTTCACGAGGAGCTAATAAATAATATAAACGAATATTATAAATGGATATAAAAAATAAAACTCAATTTTATTATAACAGATCATTATATAGTATGATGCAAAAGTATGGAATAGATTCGTTATTTTAGAAACAGACCACTTAAACTACGTCAATACTAATTTTTGAATTGCTATTGACCGCTATATATGGGTTTGATATTATGTCATTAGTGTTATCAGTAATGACGTAATCGAAGATTTTTTCAATACAAACAGAGGTCACGAAACTTCGGAATTTGAAATTTAGAAAGTCTCCTAATTGTCTTTGCAACGATGTATTATTTGAATATTTATGTCTACAGGCTTAACCAAAATATGTACTTAATTATATAAAATGGAATTACACTAAATACTTATTCACTTAACCAAATTACGTAAAGAAAGAATTTACTGTATGTTTTCTCATTGCATCATTGCTGTATAGGGTTAATTTTATTCTTCTTCTTTCTTAGCTTTTCCCTCTTTGACGGTCGCTGTTTCATACTCTTTGTTGCCACTCATTTCTGTCCATCGAGTCTTCGTCAATTAAACCTTTCTTTATCGAGTGCTCTACCACACAGTCCTTCTATCTTCTCCTCCGTTTTCTTCTACCGCTGCTTTCATAAAATTCTAACAGCTCTATCCTCCGTCCCATATAGTTTTAATTTCTACCTATGAGACTTTCTAACCTTCTGTTGCATCTCATCCTTTCAACACCAAGTTTCTTTATCTATAGAAGGTCCTTTACCAGATGATTTTCCTAGCACTTTCTTTCCCACTCGCACCATAACTGTTAGCTTCCCACCATTGATACTTTACACTATTTCCTTCAATATTTCTTATTCCTCTCCCCAAACCTCTATGAACTCTATCTATTCACGCTCTTTCTGCAGCAACTGGTGAGTCAAGGGTCCTCCAAAATTTTTCATTTTCTTGTTCTTCACATATTACCTGTGGGTCATAGGCACATAATTATGATGTTCACGTTGATATTGCCTCTATTCATAAGATCGTCAATTTCAATATTTCTTATAATTTTATTGTATATTACTTAACATTTGGTATAAATTAATTACATTAATAAACCAACAGTTTTGGTTAATCTTGCAAAAATAAATAGTTAAATAATTGCATCATTTCAAAGGCAAGTAGGAGAGCTTTTGAATGAGATATCACGTGACCTAAGTTAGTATTTAATAAAATAAAAAAATATCTAAAAAAAGTCTTTGTGATGTTGTATTTATGTGCTGTATGTATTAAATGCCTTCTTGTGAGCACTTATAAATTGTTTTAGATGTTAGGTTGTTTTCTTTCTTAAACCTTGTGATATTGCTTATTAATAAAAAATGCCAATTAACCATTTTTTCATTAAACCTTTGTTAGTAGTTTTTTTCTTCCTGAAATGTATTTTTGTTAGTGCAGGTGGTTTGGTAATGTGGTGGCTCTTATAGTTATTTGATAATTCTCTTTTTAGTATTTATGTTGTGGTTTAAGTAATAGTTTACATATCTACTGGTATGGGTTGGTTTTGTGTAAACTTTGCACATCCTATATCCTTATTTGTGATCAATACGTCCAGAAAAGTTAGTGAGTTGTTAATTTTTGTTTTACTGTTGATGCCCATGAAACATTTATTCAGTACTTCTATTCTATGGGACCAAATTTAAAACATATTTACATATCTCCGCCATACTGTGAGTTTAGGTCATATTTTTATACGTTTTGCTTAAATTTCTCCATTAAAATGTCTGCTAATGATGAAGATAGTGAAGAGCCCATCGTTTATACAAATATTGTTTACAAAAATCATAGTCTAGTTGAAAATAGGTTCTGTCTGTGCATATTGTTAATAGTTTTATTATAGCTAATAAAGGGTTTCCCAATAGGGACGTCCTGTTTTTGAAATGTCATAGCGGCAATTTTAAAAATGGTAGAACTGTCACTTGTTGACGTTTGTATTTAGTATACTCTAACAAATTACCATGGCAAGATATACGCTTGAACAACGTTTGGAAATTATCCTAAAATTTTAGGGTAATAATAGTTCTTTTGTGAATACCTATCGTGCATTACGTGAAAATTGTGGACCAAATTATCGTCGTGATGTATGTGTAATTCGTTGAATTACACTAACTAGATGGGGAAATGCTAGAACTCAGGACAATATTGCTGCTGTAAGAGCCAGTGTAGCGGAAAATGCAAATGCGTCCATAAATCGTCGTTCTCAAGAACTTGGACTTACCAGAATGACAACTTGGCGAATTCTGAGAAAAGATTTAGGCCTACACCCTTACAAGATTTATCTGACTCAAGAACTGAAGACACTTGACCATCATCAGCATCGTTTGTTTGCTGATTGGGCTCTAGACAAACTCGAAAATGATGGCGATTGATTTAAAAAAAAAATTAATCTATTTAGATGAAGCTCATTTTTGGTTAAACGGCTTTACAAATAAGCAAAATTGTCGTTTTTTGAGTGAAAATAATCCACATGAGATTCTTGAGAAGCTTTTGCATCCAGAAAAAGTCACTGTCTGGTGTGGTTTATGGCATGGTGGCATCATCGGACCTTATTTTTTCGAACATGGTGTAACAGTCAACGGTGAAAGGTATCGAACGATGATAACGGATTTTTTGTGGCTTCAATTGGATGAAATGGATTTGGATGGCATGTTTTTCTCAGGACTGTGCTCCATGTTATACTACTCCCCAACCATTGATTTATTGAAGAAAAAGTGTCCGAAAATATTGATTTTTCTTGATGCCAGAGATCCCAGGAGAATTCAGCAACTTCGACCAGAAGCTTGGCCTCCAAGAAGCTGCGATTTAATACCGTTGGATTATTTTTTATAAGGCTATGTTAAGTCATTGTGATCATATGTGAACAAACCACAATCTAATGAAGACTTGAAGAGGAACATAGAGCACACCATTCGTGAGATTAATGCGGATATTTTGCATAAAAAGACCGAAAATTGGGTTTATCGGATTCGCTCCTGCAAACGTGGTCGCGGTGGACATTTGAATGATATTGTGTTATTCGGAACATAATTGTTATCTACTATATTTTGCAATAAATTTGTTTTTTCTGATTTACAGCAATTTTTACCGTTTTCGTTAAAAAAACACCAGGACATTCTTATTGGGAGACCTTATACATTTAGTTTAGTTTTTGTTGTCAGTGTATCAGCCCTCTCTAGTTTGGTTCTTATAATTTTTAGTTTTTTCTAGAGGCACATTTCTGAAAAGGCCAATAATATCAAAACTGACTAGCATATTATTAGGATTGTAATCTATTTCGACTAGTTTTTGTAGAAAATACTATGGATTTTATATAAGGGTTTTTTTGTTATATGGTAATGATAATTATGTCTAGAAAAAACTTGTATACCTCTGTATTTTTAGGACTCCGTACGAATGCAGAGTCCTGCTGAAGTGGAAGCTTTGAATTTAGGTAGTGTTTTGTCTATTTTATTCTCCAACAATTTGGTTTGGTCCTTTTGTAGTTTTTTGTGTGATCACTTTATGTTTAATTCTGTGATTTTCTCATGGAATTGAATTTTGTTTATAATTACAATTGCTTTACTCTTAATTGCTGTTGATATTATTATGATTTCTCCGTTTTTAGAGATTGATTTGATAGCTTTGATTTCGTCTTTACTAATATTTGCGATGAAATTGTATTAATATATTTTATATAAAATTTTATTATGTTCCCGATTTATACTTATAAATTCATCATCTATTATGTGTTAGTTGCTACACACATATTATACTACTTTTTACGGATCCTGAATAGACAGAATATTTTTTGCTTCTTAACAAAAAACTTAGGACATTTAATATTTATAAAGGTTATATATCACTCAAATTAGGAAACAAATAAAAACAGCTACATTGCGTATATTCCGCTACATTCACATTGATTGATTGACAAGTCAGCCAAATCTAAAAAAAAAGCAATAGCTCACAGACTAATCAATATAATGGAAGACAAGAATCTGCTCTTTAAATATTAAAAACAACTTCAGGCAACAGTATTACATTAAACCAGATTACTGCTGTTTTTTATGGTGTTCATAAATATTTATAAAATCTTTGAAGTGTATTTAAATATGTGTGCCCCATTTTTGTCCCTAGTCTTATTTCAACGTTGTATTTTTTTTCTTTTATCCTGATTTTCAGTAAAAAGGGTTTCTTCACGGGCATTTTAATTTCAGACACATGTAACTGCACATGCTATTAACCTTCTGATAGATGTACGTATGTGGTACATATGAAAATCTACAGTTCCATCCTTGTATTTATAAACTAGAGTAAGTGGTAGCTGGTCTGTTTTAGTAATAATAATCCGCTGTCAAATTTATGGTTTCCGATGGTAAACAAGTGCGACCTTTTTATACAGTGTGGAAACCACTTATGGAATAAAATTGTTTGTGTCCTTATTATAAAAAATAATCAAAAACTCTGAGACACGTTAACGTTTAAATTTAAATGTGCGCTTTTTAAACATAAGTTTAAATGTACAGGGTGATCCACGCAAGTCTGGCATAGTCCATAATCCTCATTTTGAATGAAA